CAGCACCCTGGCTGGGCCCTGCCTCCTGTCCCCCCTGCCTGGCTCACCTCCCAGTTGCCATAATCCGGGTGAGGTGGCCAGGTCCTGGGGCACATCACTGCTCCCAGCCAGCACCTTCTTGCGGGTGAGCGACAGCACCCCACAGCACTCCTTTCCCCCCACGGCTGTCCGCTTCCCAGCCCCCACGGTGGCTGAAGGAACCGGCTGAGCATCCCCCGCCAAAGCCAGGAGCTGCTGCAAGCCGCCCAAGTCATCGCTCTGCGCATCTCCCCAGACCCCCCAGGCTCTCCCCTCCCCAGGAAGGCGCAGAATTAATGAGCTCTGGTGTGTGTCTTTGCCTGGCCATTTCCCACTGATTCCTGGGTCCCTGCTGCCAGTCTCCAGGGCAAAGGGGTGTGAACAGGGACAGGCAGTCACCCACTTCTCCCTGCTCTGCAGAGCTCCTGGTTCTTCCAGGCGAGCTCAGTCCCAGGCGTGTTTGTACAGCACAACCGGGAAGGGACAAGCTTTTCCAGCCTCCCAGGAGCACACCTAGACATCCTCTGCCATCCCCACGCACTGGTTTTACCTGCCCTCCGAGGGTCCCTGGGGCTTAGCGCCGCACCACAGACCAGGACAAACCTGAAAGCAGCAGCCGGGATGGCACAGGCCTTGGGAAGCGGATGTGTCTTGCAGGATCTGGTGGGGGAACACCTCGCAGGTCACCCCATCCAGAGCTAGCAGGGTGCTGGGGGGAGTGCAGTGAGAGAGGAAAAGCCCCCCCCCAGCCCAGCATCATCCCCACCTGCCCACAGCCCATCAAGGAGCACTTAGGTGCAGCAACATCATCTTCCAAGCATCCCTCAACTGCTCCCCTCTAAATCTGGGGACTCCTTTCTCTCTGTGAGCTGGAAAGCAGATTTCCTCCTTCGCTCCCACCTGGGGACACTTGGCACACGCCCCCCTGCACTGCTCCCTGAGCCCCCGCAGCCAGAAATAACCCACGAGTCCACCACAGCCCAGCAGCCCCTTGGGAAGGATGAGCCCTAGGGCTGGGTGGAAGGGGTTCAAAGCCCTGCCGTTTTCCCCAGATTTGAGGAAGTTTAAGGGCGGGCAAAGCCTCCAGGATGAGGAGAGCGGGCACGGTCATGACTCACTGCAGATGTGGGGCTCCCACAGCTCCAGGCTGGCTTCCTGAATGAAGAGGATCTGAAACCAGTTTGTAGAGCATGACAGAGGCTCCTTTCCCCTCACGGCTAAATTCTCACCGCTCCTATTAGCAGGATGCAACAGACCTCAGCCCAAAACCCCTGCTCAGCGAGTCTGGCCCCATCCCTCTCCAAGCACCAAGCCCGGTGCTTTTCCCTCCGACTTCAGGAGAAGTCGTAGCCAGGAAGAGGACAAACCCCACACCCCAGCCAGCTCACTCTCTTCAAGGCCGAGCAAGAGGAACCAGGGCCGAGTTTCTCTCCATCTCCCCCGGCGGCAGCGGGAGGAGAGGAACAGCCTCCCAGGGAAGGGCTCTTCCCCAGCTCGCTCGCAAAGCGCATTTAAGGGCGAACGCCGCAGGACTGCAGCGTTTTCGGATTTAATGGCAAGCTTGCACTCCTCAGCACCGGCTTAGACGCGGGGCATCAGAGGCGAGAAGTGGGCGAGTACGTGAAATAGCAGAGGTGGACGCGACGTGCAGCTGGGCACAACAACAGGGCTAAAGCCCTAAGTGATGTCATCTGCGAGAAGCTGAACGCGCTGTGGATAAAAGGAGCCCGCAGCTAGTATTTCAGCCCTGCCTTGCAAGGCTATTTTTTGCTTAGATTGCCAAAATGTAATTACAACTAAATCCCCCCTAACAAATACCAGAGAGCAGCAGGGGAGAGTTGTATTTAAAAGGAATTTTAAGCAGCAGCCGTAGTAGTACCTGATCGCAGTGGGGAAAACAAACCGCCTGGAAAAGGAGCATTGGGTTGGTAGCTGGTGACAAGCAAGGGGCAAGTGAAGGAATAGGACAGCGGGGTCTCAAGAAACAGAGAGAGGGGTGCCAGCACAGGACGGGAACTGCCCTGCTCCCTGCCCAACCCGGTGCCAGCAGGCACAAGCTGCTGGACCACGGGGAGCAGTTAGTCATGGCTGTCGGCACACTAGAGACAGCCCAGGACTGACACCCTCAACACAGAAAACAAACTCTTCAGCAGACTGAGCGTGTTAAAACTCTTTTCTCCGCCGGTCCTGGCTACTTTCAATCTAGACTTCAATAATAACACGAGGAATTTGGAATTGCAGTCATGAGGCTGAAGGTCTCCTGGTCCAAGGCCGGTAATTGTCCCAGACATGGGCTGTTCGTTCTGCGGTCGCGACCAAATTGGCCCAAGCAGCCCCTTCTCCTGGGGGACTGCGCAGAGCACGCAGGGCAGATGTGCCCCATCCCTGGCCGCAGCCTCCCCTCCTGGGCCTGATGCAAAGGGTCTATTAAAAACGGAAAGCAACTGTGCAATTCCCTGGGGAAAAGGCTGGAGCTGTTAATGAGTACAATTAGTGTTGTAGTCAAGCAGAATCAGAGGAAATAATTAGCTCCTATTGTTTCCGTTGCATCCAAATCGCAGCCATGCTGGCTTTCCAGGCGACAACACATCAGTCCAGCCTCACACCCGAGGACAGGAGACAGGGGGTCACTCTCAGCCCCTCCTCTGGTCACAGCTTTCACACAGCTAGAAGCAGCAGCCTGGGCCATCATCCTCTCCTGCTACGCCCACTCGGGTCCGGTTTTTCTGCCAGGGCCTTGCAGACCTCAATGCACCCCAGAAGCACCTGTGGCCATGCGTTCAGCCTCTCCTTAGATCCCACACAGCACAGCACTGCTGACTTTCCACCCAGACAGCCAGAGTCAAGGCAACTGAGTGATACTCAGCATCTCTTTGTCTAAAGGAAGCTTGCATCCCTCTCCCCAACAGACAGGGCTGGGCACAAGGCACAGCTCACCTGGCAGTGTGAAGAAAGGATAAATGCAAAGCATCTCATTTTTAAGCAAGATGTTACATCTCAACTGCTTCACCCATAAAAATCCACAAACACAACAAAGTTTGGGCACCGCTGGCACTCGAGGTGCTTTAGGGCATCAGGCAAGTGAGCAGCTCAGGGGAAGATGCTTTGCGGAGGTGGCGGAAGCAGACCTGGGGCCTTACCACAACCTGGAGAAACACCAGAAACACTGATTTTTAGACAGAGCCAAAAAAAGAAGAGAGAGACTGAAAGAAACAAAGAGACCCAATAATTTATTGGCAGAGCTGAAAGGGCGGGCATTTGAAAACCATAGGGCTGACTCTCAACTGGGAAGCTCCTCCCAGCTGCAGAGAGATTTAATACTGGTATCCCTCAGCAAAAGGCTCTGACATTGGAGGCAGAATCCCGGAGATCCTGCACGCCGTGTAGAGAAAGAGAGGAAAGTGCTGCAAGGTGCGGCCCCAAGGGCACGCTGCTAACTGACAGATTGGCCTCCCACCCCTCTGCTAAAAAAAAGAAACATTTCTGTATGACAAAATCAGCCTCTATTGTCACCGCTGCTGGAGGGTTTCAGGTGGATCCTTCCTCCTAGGAGGAGTGCGGGAGAGTGCCCCATGAGTCCCTTCACAGGTCGGAGGGCACCGCTGGAGACCTCTCAGTGCTTTCTACACGCAGAGAGGAGCTTAAGTGCCAACTCTTGTTCTCACAAGGTGATTTTTGTGTTTCGAAAGCTTGAATTATCCCTGGAAAAGAGAGGGATAAAAAAAGAGGTTAAAGGCGTGCATTCCTTCAGCCCACAGCAACCCCCGTTCCACCCGCCACGGCTACTAGTGTTGCCACCCCACAGCACGTCAACTCAAATCAACGCTCGTTACTCCTCCTAAGCAGATCTACTTCCTAGTCTAGTCTCTAGTTTCCTAACTAGAGGCTTTTCACCTAAGTCAACCTGTTGCTCCACGTGGAACACAGGGAGATCCTGGTTCATCCCCATTCATCGTGAAGAAAAGTGTCATCTCCTGTGAGCAAAGAGTATGGTAAGACTCTGGAAACCTCCCTGATAGATTCTGGTCTTTGAACAACTTGCAAGATCTCTTCCTTCCCAAACATTGCCCTCAGGGATTCTGCTTGGAGCACAAATACACCATCAGTCCAAACTCCTCCTGCCTCTGTCCCTCGTCTTTAGGCTCCTTTCGTCATGCTGTCAACAAGTTTACCTCTCTGGTCTCTCCTACCTTAAAATAATATCTAATCTGGAAAGAATGTTTCCCTCAAGATTAAACAGGAGAGTTTCTTCAGCAGCTTTTACTCACATGAGTACGGCCACGTGAGTCGCAGGGGCTACTGACAAAGAAAGGGCTGCTGGTCCCCAACCTTCATTTGCACAGTCTTGCGGCGCATGGCAGCAACTGGAGGCGGGGTGGGTTACAGCAGCCTGTGTTCATGCTGACTGCGAGCCCGTGAGCAGCAGCAACAGGCAAAGCATATTTACACATTAATAGAAAGGTGATGAAGGCTTTTATTATTAACTCAATTAGAAATAAATGACAATTATTTTGAGAGGATAGGTTTGGCAGGTCTTCCTGTGAGAGGGACGGGGCACTAAGCTGCCCAAACCAAACACCTAGGGATGCCCCAGCACATACCACACCACATGAGCAGAGCTGCGTTGAAGAGCAAAGGCAACAGCTTCGGAAGCAAGGACTGTAAAATCCTGCTTAAACCCTTGAGCTAGCAACGTGTGCTGTGAAGAGCTGCACGGTAGCTGTAATATCGCAGCACAGCACATGCTGGAACACCTCCAGGAGGTGGGCTAAGGAGCCAGAGGAGCAGAAGGAAGTAAAACACAGTCTCTAAAGAGTTAAACAAGTTACTGTGCTATGACATGACAGCAAAAACCATGCTGGAGGCCATCTACAGAAGAGTAGGGCTCACCTTTGCACTTGCCAGCAAAGCAGGCTGTGCTGCCATTTGGGAACATGATTCAGGATTGATTAACTGTATTCCAGTTAATTTGCAACAAAGATTTGGCATTCTATCCCTCACTGTACTTTCACCCGTGCCATCTACCTCAGGAGGACAGCAAGCTTTGGTTATCTCTGTCTTGGACAGGTTTCTACACTGCCCCTCCTTTGGCCTTTACCAGGATGCCTCAGGCCCTCTGCTCACCATTGCTCTCCCTGCTCAGCATCGGTAACCCAACACAGCTGAGAGCTACATCAGCTCTGCCACTGGTTTCCTATACACCTGGCACATTTACTGCCTTCTGAGACCGGGACTTCATGAAGTGAGCTGGTTTCCTCTTCTGGAAGGTCACCTGAATGTCACCGAACGGCAACAACGCCGTTAGGTGCCTGTGTAACATTCTGTAGCCACCGATCCTCACACAAAGCCAAAGCTGCGAGGAAAGATAGGCATTATTGTCACCCACGACTCCAGAGTAAGCTACGAGAACACTGCTCGCCCAAAGCTGTGGAAGGAGGTTTTGGGATCCCTAGCGGCCCCTTGGAGCTTGGCAGTGTTGGAGCAGCTACATATCACCGTGGGGTGGGAACTGGGTAACATAATCCTTCCTTCCAGCAGGATCCTCTGCTCTGGCACTTGGCAGCGCAGCAAACCCACTTGGCTACAACCAGACGCAATTCGTCGCCAGGCCTCCTGCTAGCCCTTTTTAGGGAAAGGGCCTGCCATCACTGCACTGGAGGGGAAAAACAAACAATCTGAGTTGTGAGGCTCACAAGAGCCCTGAGCTCACCTTGGCTATTTTCTCTGCACACGGTGGGTTGCCACTACCAGAAGTAGCAGGTGGTTTCATCTCATTAGCCACAGCATTATTATTTCTAAATACAGTAGCTACTGCGTGTCCTTCCTGAACAAGCTTTTATTGACAGACTAATTTATTCTGCTCCAGCCCACTGTCAAGAGCAAAGGCACGTATGCCAAGCTCCGGGCGCCTCTCTCAGTGTCCATCACATGGATGTGCTTAGCATTCATTTACCACTCCATCTCTGCTTACAGTCCACCCTAGGCAACAGCCCCAAGCTGCAGACATACCTCTCAGCCTCCCGGGACCACGTCTGGGGTACAAGGGCCTTGAACAGAGGAAGGACACATCAGCAAAATAGCACACAGCATTCCCACAGAAAACGCCGTGTGCAGGGAGACCACAGTGAAAATTGGTGTCTTTGGTCAAAAAAATAATTAAAAAAATTATCTGGAGCTTTGGGAAAGAGCCAGTAGCAGAACGGGCCCACCTCCAAGCCCATAAGGCAATACAACATGCCAGCCCACGGGAAGAGGGTTGGAAGCTGAGAGGTATGCCATGAACTCACGTAGGAAGAAAGATGAGGCCCTACCCTGGGTGTGACAGAGGGAGGGGGAGCGTTCGATCAGCGGCCACTGCTGTTCACCAGGCCATGAAACTCCTCCCAGGCCCTGGCAAGCCAGAGGGAAAAAAAAAAAAAAGGAAAAAAGAAAAAAAAGAAAAAAACAGCACTTCAGATCAAAGGCTTCTTAACTTTTAACGAGAGCAGAAACATTCAATGGCGTTTGAAAGGCACTTGTCTTCAGAGCGCGAGGCAATATTCTCTGCTAGCCCTAGTGGATAGAAGCATCCTTAAAGCCCAGCCAAACATCTGACAGCGCGTGGCAGCTTGAACGCTCTGCGCAGACATGAAGCGTTCCCACCGGCTGCTGGTGATGCAGCCACATTAATACCCAGAGACAGGTATGACCTTCCCAGTCACAAATGGAATATCCATTTCCTATTGCTAATAAAACAGCCGATGTTGCGTCTTTCTGGAGGATTATCGCGTTCCTTGGCTGGTTAAACTCAAGCCAGTCAGCGGCCTCACGCTTCACCACATACCTGTGTATGTAGTAATCCCCCCAAAAGGGGCTTCTTCTAACGGCACACGGCTTAGGTATCACAAATGTCTTCGATCAGGCGGCATAATCCAACTGGTATTAAAAAAAAAAAGTCTCATTTCCTATTGTAAACTTGCACTGTTCATGATGTCCCAGTAAAAACCATCACAGCTATCGGAATGAAAATGTTTTCAGCTAAGTTAGAGGGACAGGCCTAACGCTGCATTCCCCGGTGGAGAATGTTACTGACGGACAAAGCTAGCAGACTGAAAAATTGCTGTCTGTGTTACGGAGGCAGCATACCGAACGCCCTCTCAGGGAAAAGATGCCGAGGTTAACGTGAGCATGACCGTTATCTTCTGGGATCAGAGACATCAAAGAACCTCACAGTTCTCCATGCCCAGCAACACAGTGCTGGTGCCTACAGCACATGCCAAACCATTTACTGAACCCAGAGTGTCCCACGGAACCGAAAGGACCTTAACGGGGACCCACGTCAGTCATCAACCCAGATCACCCTGCAAATTCTGTTGCTGGTACAGCTAGCTCACATCTCCCTTTCTGCACTGCCTCATCAGGGCTCTGCAATGCAAGAGGAGAGTCCAGGAATAGAAGTCCTGGATTAGCCAGCATCCAGGCCAACAAAAGACGACCGGCCCAGCTCTTACCTGAGCCTCAGTCAGGCTCCCAACCAGCATTTGCAAAAGCAGCTCAGGTGTCACATGCTCTATCCCAGGAAAGTCACAGCCCAAATAAACGCAGAGTAAACCGGCAGAGTGCCTGCCACGTGGGCTCCGCGAGACTGTACACCACATACAGGCGGTCTTGCTGGGAACCACAAAGGCAATGTGAGGGAGACAGACAGCAAAGGGTCCTGTAGATGCAAGAGGGTAGGGCGCAGGGGACAGCCGTGGTGCGCTGGTACAGCAGGTCAGATCTGCAACTCAGCCGGACGTACAGCAGTGCTGCCTGGAGGAGAGAACCCACCAGTGGCTCATTCTAAGCAAGGCAGCAGCACAGAAGCCCCTAAGTGGGAACTTTCTCCCCAAGTCTCCCCAGACATAGTAACCTTCAAGGCCACAAGGCCAAGAAATCTGCCAGGGAAAGGAAAACTGTCCATGTCACCCAGTCAGCACTGCCTCCCTCCAGAAGAAAGTTAGGGGAGGGGAAGAGAAACTCGACCTGAAGCCCTCTTGGCTGCTGAATACAGGCTGGACAGCTATGCACACCTCCAGCCCTGTCAAAAAGTCTCTACCCTCATGTCTGCCTTCCAACCCCCCATGCCTTGTATTTCTACCACATTTCCACCACCCATGACCACATCTCTCTTTCCTCTCCCACAGCTCTCCCCAAACTCCTAACTTCTGTTCTCTGCAGAAGGCACACAAGGGCAGATTATTCGTCAACATAATCGATAATTTATTACCCCTTTCAAACCAAGGAGTTACCTGTTCCAACATGCCAGTAACATCATGCACATAGTTCTCCAGCTGCCAAGTCCTTCTTGCAGACAGGGAGAAAAAACTCTTCCAGCCAAGAATTTTTAAGCCAAGACCCTCATACATATTATAGTCCTAATTACTTCAACTATCTGCTGACTTGACTGAAAAAATCCACCAGGATGTGTCTGCCCTAATGTACCTAAACTACGCTAGCAGAGCAAACTGCTCTCCATTTCGTACCGAACAAGGCTGCCAGTTAATTCCGTCTGGCAGAATCTTTACGACCTGTGACGTGCCAAAGGCACAGTGCCAGAGCCTCTAAGAGGTTATTTTTATGTATAGACATTTTTAGTACCTCATTGCTATACTGTCTGTGCAGCGATCAGATACTCAGCGAATTGATCCCCAACACTCAGGTTATTCCCACTGAACAGATG